AGTGCCCGACTACAGGCACGCAGGCAAGCGTCTGTGGCCCAACTGGAGAGCTGGAGGGCATCCAAGATGGACAATCTGATGAAGGGCAAGGCTGCGCTCATCCGGCTGTTCAACTCAGGGGTGCTCACGAGCGAGAAGGAGAGAGACGAGAAGATACTGGAATTGGTATGTGAGTGTGTGCGTATGTATGTATGTCTGTATGTACGCAAGTATCCGTATATGTATGTATGTAGATATGCATAAACGCATGTGTATGTGTATGCATGCATGCGTGTATGTATATATATATGTATGTATGTATGTGTGTATGCATGCTTGCATGTTTTTATATATGTATGCAAGTATGTATGTATGTGTGCATGCGTGAAGTAAGTATATATGTATGTATGTATATATATATATATATGTATGTATGTATGTATGTGTATGTATGTATGTGTGTATACATTAATGTACCACTTTGGTATGAAATAGGTCCACCTTCTCTCGGCTCCGTGCGTTTGTTCCCTGTCACTCGTTGTGTCGTAACACATACACAACATACCAATTCTCCACATCCGTGCTAGATTGCAACCACCAGATATCCAAACGTTGTGGTTGTAACACAAAATTGACGCTATATCCAGAACACGATCTGGATTAAAATAAATAAATAGGCACTTTGTAATCCTGTTTTCTCAATATGGTTCATCCTCTGCCGCATGAACAATTCAGGATCTCAATCGGAGGGCGATTGAGCGTGCGCTCACCGAGCACCGCCAAGCCATTCACAAAGCAACCACTGAACTCTGCGACGCCAAGATCGCCAGTTTCGACAGCCAGTGCAAAGAGTATTGGAAGAATGTTGAGAATAACTCAGATACCTCGGGTGCTACGTTTGAGTCATATGCGCACCATTTGAAGCTGCTGATGCTGGGGAACGAGCGCACGGATCTTACGCAGAGACTGGAAACGCTGCGCACGAAACAGGATGCTACGGCTAAGCAGCAGAGCACCGATCTCGCGGTATGCACATGCATGTGTAGTTGCATATGTTCTACATGGATAGTTGTATATGTTGTACACGGATGGGTGCATATGATATACATGATTGGTTGTATATGTTATGCATGTGTAGTTGCATATGTTCTACATGGATAGTTATATATGTTGTACATGGATGGGTGCATATGATATACATGATTGGTTGTATATGTTATGCATGTGTAGCTGCATATGTTCCACATGGATAGTTGTATATGTTGTACATGGATGGGTGCATATGATATACATGATTGGTTGTATATGTTGTGCATGTGTAGTTTTATGTTATACATTTGTGGTTTTATGCATTGTAGGTATATAGGTTCTAAATATGTACTTTGCACGCGTTCATTCTTGTCTGTGTATGCCGAGAGTGGTTCCTTTTGTTGCCAACACCGATTCGGTGCAACAGACGTAGAAGATACGTGAAAAATTGGCTGACAAGACCCCTATTATAGTGGTTGTGACCTTACCATCCTAGAATAGTAACAATTGTCTCGAATCTTTTTAGCTGATATCATATGCTGTTACGTTCCCACTCCAGGAGATTCGCGGGCTTCCCAATTCCAGCGAAGTTCGGGACCAAATTATCGCAGCCTCCAAGAAGAAATTGGAGGGAATGTACGACCAAGAGGGTGAACTGGTCTTAAAGCGCATAACCGTCTTGGCAGCTCTGAATAGACAACAGAACGTTGCTGCGCCGGTATATATACATATATAAAATTTTATATATATATATATATATATATATATTTTCGTATTATACATACATACACACACACACACACACACACACACACACACACTATATATATATATATATATATATATATATATATATATATATATACTATATATAACCTATATATATATTACCATACGGGACTAACACTAACCTAACTACCTA